TATTTGGCAAAACGTTTCGACGGGTTTCGATTTCGATGCCTGTCGAAACCTCCGGGTTTTGCCCGGCAACCTTAATTCGATGTGGCTTTAAACATAAAATATGGCAAACAAAATTTTGAGCAATTCGAAGGGATAATTTCATTATATACACAGATTATAAATATATTTTAAAAAATTTTCTCTTTAATCATATTATATACTCAGAAAACTTTTCGTATTGTAACTTTAAATATACTAACATATTATGAAATTGAATTAATGAATACTAATGAGGTTCGGAATGTTATGTTATTTATTTAATTTAATGCAGTACAAATTATATAATTAAATATAACTATAATCACGTGATTTTGATCAACGCTGTTGTGGAACTTTATTGTTGCTCGACATTTTCGAGTATTTCTTTGTCGATATAAAAGATATACCAATTTTGGTATCTCTATCACAACTGCAATGTAACCAAACAATAACCGCATAAATACATCTTATGTAAAAAAAAATCATATACAATTGTCTTTAAGCGCAATCATGTTAAAGAATTATTCAATACGTCTCGTTTTGTGGCTTTTAATTCAATTATTAGTTGAAGTAAAATGCCAAACAACTCCTTTTAGATCAACACAACGAAGCAGTCATACTGCTACACTTATTGATAGTAATTTATATATCTTAGGTGGTCGAAATGATGAGACTGGCAGGATTGGAAATGAATTTTTTTATCTTGACGTCTCTGTTCCATTTAATACTCAAAATATATTATGGCATAATTTAACAAGCATTAATATAGTTCCAGCACATATTTCTGCAGCTTCCGTTAACGGTGGCGCAAATAATAAAACCTTGTTTTTATATGGAGGATCAAGTGATAAAGTAATGTCTTTAGTATATACATTTGACACTCAAAGTAATTCATGGAATATTCCAAAAATAACAGGCGATAATATTGTTAGGAAAAATAACCTAAAAGGCATTATTAATAATTATGGGAAAATGTATTTATTTGGTGGACTATTTAATGGCACCACTACTCAAAATGATATGTTTATTTTAGATACAAAAAATTTGAAATGGGAGTTAGGAAGTACAATTAATGCACCTTCTCCAAGAGCTGTTTATGGTGCAACTTACGTCTCAGAGCAGCACATACTTTATCTAGGTAAGCAAATAATTATCATAATAAACACATGTTATGGTTTTTCTCATTTGCTATTATTATATTATTTAGGTGGCTTTTCTACCGCATCTAGTATTGATGGTGCATCTTTATCATTAAAAGAGGTTAATTATTAAAATGATATATAACTTATAACTGTTCGTTTTCTTATATTTTCTTATTTTTACAATTTATTAAACCTAGATTTATTACTATGACATGCTTAAAGATTTGTGGCTGACAAGAGTATGTTTGTTAACTCTTTCTTACTAATATTATTATACTAAGACTTTACCTATCTTATTTGTAAAATCAGGTGACTTCGGGTACAATTCCTACTGATAGAGATTCCTTTTCTGCAGTACTTGGTAATTATAAAAGTAATCTCATAAATTTGAACTTTAATTAATTATATTATTATTATTTTTGTATAAAGGTTTGAATGGGCAGAAAGTAATAATCTTTGGAGGAATAAATAATATTAATAAATTCACACCTCAGGATACTCTTTATGTATTAGACTTAAATAATTTTGAATGGTATATCCCAAAAATTTCTGGAAGTATTCCAAGTTCTAGATATTGGCATCAAGCAAATGTAATTGGAAAATATATGGTTATATCATTTGGTAAATATCTTATGCTTTTTCTTTTTGTCATTTATTCAAAATAAATTTATAATATTATAATCATTAGGATTTGGTTATGATAGAAATATTGACAATGATATCTTATTGCTTGATATAAGTAATGATGAAGAATATATGTGGACAAACATTTTCGACCCAAATGAGGTAAAGCCTACTCCTCCAACGGAATCTCCAAAAGTTTCACCAACTACTACTCCAATACCAGTTATTATTGGTGTATCTATAGGAACATGTGTGGTTATTATTTCTCTATTAATTGGAGGCTTTTACTTGTATAAATGGCATAAAAATAAAACGGAAAATTCAAGAGCAATACCAACTCCTGGAAGTGAAGGTAATAACAATTTTAATCACGAAGCTTTTAAAATTACTACCAGAAATAGCGTTTATAATCATGGATAAGAAACAATCCCAGCACATCAAAATGCTTATCATTATACGTCATCGATACCTTGAAACTGATAAACATTTATCATTATTACAAAACATTGGCTTAGCTTGGAAAATCTTTTACTTCATGTTGCTAGACAAGTAGTTTATGTAATTTTTTTTTATTTTGACTCATTTGAAGGTTAGATTTGCTGAGAAATCAAATATTATTACTTTTATATTTATTTTATAAATAAATAAAAGACATAACGAAGCATTATTATAAAGTTCAGTCTAAATTTCTTAAAAAGTTATTTAAAATTGAATTTGAGAAAATGAACTGATTAATAAGCTTTAGACCGGTGTTAAGAGATTTCTATCACGCTGTAGACACTTTAGCTTTCACTCTAAGAAAAAATTTATTATCTAAAGGCGTAAATATTCCAAGTTTTAATTTCATTAGGTCTATTGATACAGGACGTCAGCATTGTCATTATATTTTCCTATAACATAGTTGTATGAATTGAACCGTTATTAAAAGTTTTAACCGGTTAACCATGTTTGGTTAAATTACGGTTAACCGACTAATTAAGACTTATTTTACCGGCTAATATTCGGTTAACCGAAAAAATTAACTGTTTCACCGCAGCTACAAATTATATTTTATAATTAAACTTAATTGATAATTTAAATATGTCATAAAAATTTTATTTATTTAAAATCAACTAAGTGTCAAATATATTTTTACATACCTTCTTTAAACATATCTACATATTCATCATTTCTTTAACAAAAAAAATTCAGTTACTTGAGGGTATTGTGTATTTTTGGACCTCTTCGTGACATTATCATTTTTTTCGTTAACCTCTTCCTAAAATTTGTGTTATTTATATTCTTTTTTTTTTTAAATTGAAACGTAAATTACACATTTAATAAAAGACAATATAAAACATGTTAAACACATAATTATAATTGCAATGATAGCGAAATTTGATACCGAAAATGTACAAAAATATGCATTACAGCTAATTTCAAAATTTACGGGACGGATGATCATTTTTGCAGATTGATAAAAAAAAAACGGGTAGATAGAAAACCGGTACGATGATGATTTTATAAAATTCGTTCCGTACCGTTCTGGTCCTATAATAAAGGACCAGTACGGTGTCAAATTTCGCATTTTTGTATTTTTTTTATCTAATATATTTTTTATATTTTTTAATTTTTTTTTTTTTAAATTCCTTCCCAGTATATATATATTTTTTTAATTGATTTTTTTCTTTTTTTTTCTTTATTTTATATTTTATTATATTTTTTTTTAAATTCCCCCCGGACTTTTTATTTTATTTTTATTTTTTTTTTAATCTAATTTTTTTTTGTTATTTTTATTCCCCTCCCACCAGACTTTTTCTTTTTTTTTTAATCTTTTTTTTTTTTCTTTTTTGTTTAGTTTCGTTTAGTTTCCTTATTTTTATTCTTTTTTTATTTTTATTTTATTTTTATTTAATTTGTTCTTTCATTTCGTTGTTTTTTTTTATAATTTGTTCTTTTACTTTTTTCGTTCATTTTATTTATTTGATTTTTCATTTTTTTTTTTTGTAATTCGTTTCTTTTTTTACTTTTTTTTTTATTTTAGATTTTTTTTCTTTTTCGTTTTTTCAAAAAAATAATATAAAAAGAATAAAAAAATGAAAATAAAATAAAAATAAAAAAAAGAATTCCGCGATATGGCATTTAATTAGTAAAATGTGATCTGTTCATTATATCAAAATTCGTTGTATTTATAAAATAAGTAATAAATAAAAATAAATTTTACAAAATTTCATTGCGTACCGTACCGTACCGGTTTTCTATTCACAAAATTACTGATCTGCATAATCGTACCGGTTTTCCATATACTCAAAATAAACTCTGGTATAGATTTTTTGAAGTTCAGATCAGTGTTCAGAATATCGCGACACAATTTTTTAAATGTGGTTTGCTTTTCCAAATACTTATAATGTTCTCGGAAAAGTATCGGATATTATCGGCTGTCCCGTGACTTATGAAATTAGCTGTACAAAAAAAAAACTTGGCACATGTTAAAATTTTAAGATTAATATTTGAGCGAGTGTAGTTAAGTTTATGCAATTTACTATGCATCGCGAAACATAAATAATATTTCATTTTTAGTAATTCGTTTTATTTCTTCAAGACTTATATAATTTATTTGCTATTATTGAGAATAATCAGAACAACTTTTTAACATTGATTAAATAAAAATTATTTAAATAAGAATTTAGTGTATTTATAATTTTTAATTTTGCATTTTTTTGGATTTTTTATATCCTTATTTCGATAGATGACAAAACATCGGTGGGTATTTAAACAAAAACTAATCCATTGAATTTAGAATATTTCAACTTTCAAAAAATTAAAAGATAATTTAAAAATTATAAACAATTTAAAATAAAACCTAAAGATCGAATAAAGGAAAAAAAATGCATTTCTTATTTTACTCAATTTTTTCGATTTACAATACTTCGCAAATTTTCCTTTGTTCGTCCGAATTTAGAAAGTTTTCCTAATTACGCAAGCTTTCTTCTTTTTTTCTTTATGACAATAAACAATTTTTCACTTGCGCGATGAAAATTAAATGCTTTGTGCCGCAAATCATTATCGTTTCAATTAATTGGACCGTTTTTAAAATCAACCTTCCCTTCTTCACATTTTCGCTAAAACTTATCCATCATAAGAATAATCACATTCTGACACGTACTTCATTCAATTCTTCAAGTTTCTACCTACCGTTCAAATTTTGAATCAATTCACTTGCTTTATTATTCATATTACTAAAGTAATAATGGTTTCAACTAATTCAGCATGATAACGACAACTAAGTCTAAATAGCTTTTATTTAAAGGATATGATTCATGCCGCATTGAGACAACTTCAATGATTTTCATGTTTAATAAATTTAGTTCACTTATGAAATTCCGAACTTGTCACTAAAATATTTTATGAACTTGTCGATTGTCTACTACGCCAATGATGTTTAATGAATGTGTAAAAAATTCATTTTTTCATATTGTTCATTATGATTCTCCTTATTCATGTAACCAAAACTTGCGACACACTCATACTTACTCCTCTTTTTCATTTTCAACTTTCTATTCATCTTCCAACTCAATCGTTCCAAAAAATTTCAAAATTCCTTTTATCATCATACAATAAATTTTCAAATGCTTCCATGTTTATTCGCACGAAGAAAATTTCTTGAATTCAATAAACGAATAAGTTTAAAAATTAGATTGATTATTTATATGTGAAAGGCAACGCAAAAATCATGCAACATAAGTGTATACTTTATGTTGCATAGTAAAAATATTATGTCTTATGTGGATACAGTAATCCTTCTTGATTGAAGATGAACTAGAAACTCATAAAAACGCACCTTTTTTTGTCCACCAGATAACCATGAGTATTTAATCTTTAATATATATACAGTAAATCTATTTCGTTTAAAAGGCAAATGAGTTAAATTCAAAATAGCAGAAAGAAAATATTTTTATGTGATCGTTGATATTTATTCAAAAATTTTATCGTTATGTCTCCCATTATTTTTAAGAAAATATTATTATGTTTTAGCCCGTGACAAAAATAGGTTTAACTTAAACTAAATCTACATAATATATAAATGCTTCCTACTTGTTGAAAATAATTTAAAATTATTTTAGAGGTTCTAAATTTGGAAAAACGTACCATAGATTTGGAAAAAAAAATGACTTTGTTAAATCATCGATCTCTCCAATATGTTCTCAAAGACCAAATCGTTTCGTTTATTTTCAAGAACTTCATTAAATATCTAATTTCTAAATCTACTATCCTTTTGATTGAACATTAATATGATGTAAATCTTTAACTTTTCTGGATAATACCGGCCGGAATTTAATGCGTACGCTTTTGTAATGAAAAATTTATCAGGTATTTTAGTCACAATTTTATATTCAAATAAGCTTAAATCGAGACCAAAAATTGCAATTGCAAAATTTGGTATGTACAAAACAGTGATGACCGCGAGAAAATAATTCATTTATCAACTTTTCATTTTTCATTAACTAGTCTACTATATTTTTCATTTAGCCGTAGTATTTTAGTGAATTTTATATGTAATTGACAAGCCAGAGTTTCAGTTATAATAATAAGACTCACAAAATTTGAAAATTGTTATAACTAAATCCATTTTTTCCTATAACACATTTTCTAGATTGTTATACATTGGAACCTCTTTAACATTTATTAATTCGTTTTCATAAAAATATCTGGGAGAATAAATTGTAAGAATCCTCTCTCATTTAAATAAACTTTGTTATACCTAACCTATATGCTTTCTAATACTGTCTCTAAATATTTATAAAAAAAGATAATACATAATCAAATTTATGTACTAAAGGTTATTATATTATATATTTCTTAAGTATTTATTAAAATCATTATATACTTAAGAGAACGCCGTAAGAAAATATTTTTTAGAGAAATAATTTTTGTTATTTAAATAATTATATTTAATCATTAAGTATTATATTTATCATTGCTATTTTCAATCACGGCAAATAATTTATATACAGTCTACTAAAAATGAAATATATAATAAATTTGCGTAATAATATATAAAATTAACTTTTAAAATTTGCATTTTTAATTTAACTATCAAATATTCATCTTAAACACTCTTAACATGTGAACCATATTTAATATTACTATACCAAGAATATTTTCCAGTTTTAGTTGATTTACCTGTCCAATGTTCTTAAAATTTTCATTCATCTCAAAACCAGTCGATAATTATTTTAATATAACTTTTTTTAAGCAATTTGTTTGAACATTACATAACTCATTATGTACTTTATTTTTTAAAAAATAATAAATATAAAAAACTATAATAATATAAATTTACTAACATACTAGCAAATCTAAATTTACTTTCAAATGAGTCAAAACTATCAAGAAAATTAACTTATTTACTGCTTTATTTTACTTAACCTCTTGTTTATAAACATGAATTATAAGATTTTTCAAGCTAATATTTTATCACAGTTGACTAATATCGATGACGGTTGTTGTCAATAAAATGAGTGTTTTCGTGTGTTGGTATTGTTTCTTGTCCATGATTATAGACATTACTTCTGGTAGAAACTGCTAAAGCTTCGTGAACATAATTGTTATTATCTGCGCTTCCAGGAGTTGGTAATGCTCTTATATTTTCCATTTTATTTTTACGCCATTTATATAAGTAAAAGCCTCCAATTAATAGAGAAATAATAACCGCACATGTTCCTATAGATACACCAAACATAACTAGCGTTGCAGGAGTATTTGGTGAAACTTTTGGAGATTCCGTTGGAGGAGGAGACTTTAGCTCATTTGGGTCGAAAATGTTTGTCCACATATATTCTTCATCATTACTTATATCAAGCAATAAGATATCATTATCAACTTTTCTATTATAACCATATCCTATTGAATTATAATAAAAATTTATTGTACATAAAAAATAAATAAACGACAAAAGGAAAGAAATACACGATATATTTACCAAATGATATAACCATATATTTTTCAACCACATTCGCTTGATGCCAATATCTAGAACCTGGAATTTTTCCAGAAACTTTTGGAATGGACCATTCAAAATTTACTAAGTTCAATACATAAAGTGCTTCTCGAGGTGTAAGATTATTAAGATTATTAGTTCCTCCAAAAATTATTATTCGTTGCTCATCCAATCCTTTATTAAAAATTTGAATAATACTTCAGTTTGTTGATAGTGCAATAAATTCTGTTTATTATAATTATTTTTATTCTTACCAAGAACAGAAGAGAAGGAATCTCTATCAGAAGGAATTGTACCAGAAGTCACCTGATTAAATAAATTATAGATAGGTAAAATCTTTACTATAAAAAATAACAACAAAGTCGAATAAACATACCCTTGTAAGCCAATAATTATCAGCCATGTTATAGTAGTAGACCTAGGGGTTAATGAATTCAAAATCAAAAAAATAAACTTTTAAATATTTATGCTTTGTATATCAAATAATAATATACCTCCTTCAATGATAAAGATACACCATCATTATCTGATGTGGCATAATAGCCGCCTAAATAAACAATATACATTTGTGAGACATAAGTTGTACCATAAAGACTTCTTGGAGAAGGTGCATTATTTGTCGTTCCTATTTCCCATTTCAAAGTTATTGTATTTAAAATAAGCATATCATTATAACGAGTGCCATTGGAGTGTCCGCCGAATAAATACATTTTCCCATTATCATCAACGATGCCTTTTAAATTATCTTTTCTAATAACATTATCACTAGATAAGTTTGGGATGCTCCATGAATTATATTGTGTATCAAATGAATAGACTAAAGCCATTGTTGCATTATAATGGGTTACACCACCATATAAAAACAAGGTTTTATTATTTGCACCACCATTAACAGAAGCTGCAGAAATATGTGCTGGAACCGTATTAAAGCTTGTTAAGTCATGCCATAAGATAGTTTGTGTATCAAATGGAACAGAGACGTCAAGATAAAAAAATTCTCTTCCAATCTTTACAGTATTCATATCGTCTCGACCACCTAAAAAATATATTTTATCATCAATAAGTGTAGCGGTGTGAACATATCGTTGTAATGGATTGAAAAGAGTCGTTTGACAATTTACTTCAATTAATAATTGAATAAAAAGCCAAATTATGATATATATGGAACTGTTATTTGGCATAATTGCGTTTTCAAGATAATTGCGAAACATGCTTTTTTACACGAGATATGTTAAATATGGTATGGTCATTATGTAGTTATTGTTCTGTTACATTGCAGAAATTTATGTTGTATCAATACGCCATTTAACAAAATTTCAGGAAGGTCGGCGTAAAATGAAATAAAGTAGATCTTTCCTTTTATAGATATTCGTCTTTATTGTAGATAACACAAGCCTCATGCAACACAAATTAAATTTATGGTTTTATTATTATGAAAGGACAACCAACTGCGGACAGATAGAAAACCGGTACGGTAAGATTCGCCAGACCAGTGCGGTACGATTATGCAGATCAGTAATTTTTGTGAAATTTGTCATCGTACCGTGCTGGTCCTATAATAATTATAAAATTCGAATCGTACCGTACCGGTTTTCTATCTACCCGTACCGTACCGTACTGGTCCTATAATAAAAGCTCTATATATACTACCGGTACGGTACGGTACGATTCAAATTCGC